CACCCCAACCCCTGGCCGCGAGCCCCCACCTGTTAAGCACCGTCCTCCAGCCGCCATCCAGATTGCGGTACACCCTGTTGTCCAGCACCAGACCAAAGTCGGTGATGGAAATAGGGGGCCCCTCGAACGTCACACGCGCGCACAGCCGGTTGACGCGCACGTGCTTGAAGCGCAGCGCGCGCGACGGCCGCTTCGGAGTGGCGGCGGCGGGGGCGGCGGGCGCGGCGGCCGGCGCTGCGCCGGGCTCTGCGGGCGGCGGGCGGGGCAGCGAGGAGCGAGGAGCGGCGGGACGCCGGCATGCCGGTTAGAATACCTCGGGATTGATTCTTCAACCGTCTGCACACAACACTCCCAACTTGGTGTGCGCAAAGACAAGGTGAGCCGCAGGGGTGGTGTGCGGAGCATGCACATGCTAGCCGCGCCGGCGGGGCCCTCCACGCCCCATGCCCCGACCTCGAGCGCCCCCAGGCAGCGCCCCCCACGGCCGCCCACCCGACCGCGGCGTCGCGGGGAGGCTGCCGCCGCGCCGCCGCGCCGCCAGCGCTCCGTAACGAATGACGGCCCCCTCCTCGCCGCCGCCGCCGCCGCCGCCGCGGAGCCGCGAGCCGGGGCCGCCGCCGCCGCCTGCGGAGGGCACCCCTGAGGTGAAGCTGCTGGCGAGGCTTGCTATGGAGGGGGCCGCAGGGCTGCGGGCGCGGGAGGAGAGGGCGGGGCCGGGCAGGGCGTCGGCGTCTGACGTGGCGCCCTCCTGCGGGGTGGGAGGGAGGGGAGGGGGGAGAGGGGAGATGCCGGGTTCGCGGGAGGGGACGAGACGGGCGTGAATGTGTGGAGGGAAGTGCCGGCCTCAAGGTGCACCGCCGCTTTGCTCCGCCGCAGCGTTGCTCCGCCGCAGCGTTGCTCCGCCGCAGCCTTGCTCCGCCGCAGCATTGCGCCGCCGCTTTGCTCCGCCGCAGCGTTGCTCCGCCGCTGCATTGCTCCGCCGCTTTGCTCCGTCGCAGCGTTGCTCCGCCGCTGCACTGCTCCGCCGCTTTGCTCCGTCGCAGCATTGCTCCGCCGCAGTGTTGCTCCGCCGCATTGCTCCCCCACTTTGGTCCGCCACAGCATTGCTCCACCGCAGCGTTGCTCCGCCGCTTTGCTCCGCCGCAGCGTTGCTCTGCTGCATTGCTCTGCTGCATTGCTCTGCTGCATTGCTCCGCAGCATTGCTCCGCCGCAGCATTGCTCCGCCGCAGCATTGCTCCGCCGCAGCATTGCTCCGCCGCTTTGCTCCGCCGCAGCATTGCTCTGCTGCATTGCTCTGCTGCATTGCTCCGCAGCATTGCTCCGCCGCAGCATTGCTCCGCCGCAGCATTGCTACGCCGCAGCATTGCTCCGCCGCAGCATTGCTCTGCCACATTGCTCCGCTGCATTGCTCCGCCGCATTGCTCCGCCGCAGCGTTGCTTCGCCGCAGCATTGGTCCGCCGCTTTGCTCCGCCGCAGCATTGCTCCGCCGCAGCATTGCTCCGCCGCAGCATTGCTCCGCCGCAGCATTGCTCCGCCGCCGCATTGCTCCGCCGCCGCGTTGCTCCGCCGCTTTGCTCTGCCGCATAGCTCCGCTGACTTGCTCCGCCGCATTGCTCCGCAGCCCACACCCCTGCCGGCCGCCTCCACGGCACGTTCCCTGGGCGCAACCGCAGGCACCCCACGAGCCTGCCCCACAGTGTCTGGTCCCTCGCCACCCCCACCCATGCACCTGACCCACCAAAACCCACGCACCGTCGAAGGGGACCAGAGGCCGTAGCCAGATACCGCGCTCAGCCCGCCGCCCGATGGCGCCCCCGCGTCCCACTCGCCCCCAGGCAGCTGGATCGCGGGGCCGGCCGCGGCCGCGGCCGCCGCGGGTGCTGGCGGGGCCGCTGACGAGGCGGAGGCGTCGGATCGAGAGGTGGCCGCGCCGTCCCTCTCGTCCGCGGCGGCGGCGCCCGCGGCGGCGGCGGCTTTCAGCGCGGGGTCGGAG